TAAAATCTTGTTTTTGTATTCAGTGTAAAGAGCACTGAATACAAATGCACACCACAAGTTTAAAAATTTGAATAGTTAGGAGTTTCAAAAAATGTACTCTCATACCATAACGTAGACAAGAAGTCTGTCACATGAAACAATAAAATACGCTGCAATTTGTAGACTCAGTAGTTATAAATGTGAAAAAGATCAAGGAATTTGTATGTCTTTGTCACATTCCTTTCACAGTGCATCACTCTATTAAATACAGTCTCAGTCTATGGTGCACATTTAGTCCAAACCCGATGATCCCCATTCCTACTGAACCTCACATGGTGTCTTTTTGAAGCAGATTCTTTGCCATGCAAATTCAGTCCAACTTTTCTTCCAATGATATTCACCAAATTATTTCTGGACATACCTGCTGGCCCTTATCTTCGCATTGTCTTGAAAAGTTCATGACAGAATTGTCATGATGAAAAGGAACCTCTGTGGGTGTTTTCCACAGATGCTTTCACATAGTTCTGGCAGCAGAGCCAGAACCATGTCACCACTGGCAGGAATGGCTACAAAGCTGAATGAAAGTATGATGAGACATCTCAGAACTGAAGCGCCCACAAAGTATGAGGAAAACTCGGGGTGGTACATTTTGGAGCTGCAGTGAAAGATGCTTCTGTTGATGGTTTTAGGACTGTTGGGGGGTGTTCCTTGTTGTATGTGACTGATATACAAGTTTAGTTTAACTACAGCAGTAGGAACAACGGCCCTCTTGCTGACCTTTCCTAAGCCAAAGCAAATAAAGGCTTTCAATGAGATCTGGAACCCTGCCAAAGCTGGGTCTCTGTAAATTACAGGGTAAGCCCCTCAGTTGTCATATCGCATCAAGTTAGGCCAAAAAAACTGACAACCCATAAATGAGCAGGTTTTTTCCTGACCTAATCACAGAATAGGGTCTTGTTCTGATACAGCCCAGTTAAAATAATAGAATTTGGTGGCCTCTCAGCACTTTTTATTGATTAACAATTTCTCAGTTAAATGATCCTTATTTTCTTTTATCCTCTCTGTCTCTCTCGGGCTAATTTGTTGTCACCTTTCATAACTGCAGTTTTTTTTTCTTTAAGGACTGGATTTAAGTGGTTGCAGAGACATGCTATGGTTTAGCTTTTTAGAGCTCCTAGTTTCTTAACAATATATCAAGAGTTGTAATATTGAGAGAGGCTGGGAAGTAAACCAGTAAATATATTAAGATGTGGCTACATTTATTTGTGAGCATGTCTCCAAACACAACAACCTCCACTCAAGTTGATATATATGTTAATATCTGTACTTAACCTTTCTGAAAATAAATTAAAATCCTTAATCCCTATTTTGCCATCCAATTTTTGATTTTAAATTGAATTCTTAATGTATATTCTGTATTTGATCAAGGTTCTTATTACAAAACAGTTAATAATAAATTAGTGTTTTACTATTATTAGATCCTGAATAAAATTATTTTCAAACACTGTAATTAATTCCACATTGGACAGAGGAGGTGAATGAATCAGCTCATCATTAGTGCAGAAAAAATATGGCAATTTAGTAAGAGGTGAATCCGTATCCCTTGTCCCTTTGTTTCCCTGCCTTTGTCCTGGATTACATTGTGCTCCCTTTTGTCCCCTTTCTCTTTGTTTATTCCAAGACTAAATCTTGGTATGTTTTCCAGGATAAATAATGCAACCCAACTCCGATGAGGCCCTGTCCTATAGTTTGAGAGAATTCATAGCTGTGGGAATCGAGCTTGCTGCCAGCTTGATGTATAGAGTTAAGGGAGATAAAATAACAGAGATAGAGGGAAGGTACATTTATTCAGTCTCGCTGACAGAGGAAAAGTAATAGGTAGAGAGAGAAAGACATAGTGACAGATGTCCGGCATAAAAACTATTACACATCTTTGCAGCGGAGCAAAGAGTATTTGCATGTGAGTGACAAATCACTTAGTGGTTCTGTCAGCTGCCAAAACTAGACATCACTGAGAGAATCAGCTCAGGAAAGAAATGTTTAGAGAAGGGACAACTGTCTTTATGAAAAATGAACTGACTGTAAAAGATGACTGATTTGTGAGCCAGTGTCCTTTCAACATTGAGAACACTGGGAACATTATAGCAAGGTTTCATTGGACACGTCAGGGGTAATTTAGGGTTTTGGTATAGTGGTATATTAATTACACCAGGAAGTGTTTTAATTGGCCAGCAAGACGTGAAAAACTATTAATAACACAGTCAGCTCAGGACTTGGATTTATACCTAAGCAATTTGTAGATGTTATAATAAAGTTTTGTCACAGTAATTCAGAGCTACATTGTCTAACAAATGTTGTGAGCTGTAGATCCTTTGCCCCATGATAAAGTGACCCATTAAAATATATTTAACCAGAGGTGAAAAGTAAACTTTTATCACTGACTGCAATCTCTTTTTCTGATTCCACTGTGAGCTGTCAACATAGCACACAGTAATTTAGGGACACATCCAAAGGTCAAATCTACTCTTTCTTCCAGCGACACAGATATGCGTGTGCATACTTTTATCACAATTAAGCTTCAAAGGTCCACATAAATCATCTGGAGCTCACACAATGCTTCTGGCACAGCTAAAGTGTTGTAAAGGATTATGCTTTGGTTTCAAAGGTTTGAGCATCTTCAGCCTGGGAAAATATTTCAAACCAGTTCTCCATCTAGATCTGGCTGTCAGCGTGTTGTAATGTACAGGTATATGAATTATTCGGTGGTGCCCACATTCCAAAAATATCATTCAAATCATAAGTACTTTTTGCTCTTATATATATATATATATATATATATATATATATATATATATATATATATATATATATATATATATATATATATATATATATATATATATATATATATATATATATGTTTATGTATGTATGTATATATATATATATATATATATATATATATATATGTATATATATTTATGTATGTATGTATATATATATGTATATATATATATATAAAAATTCCCTTCTCACCCACTGCGGGTGGTTCTTATCCTCTGCGCTCGGGTCCTCTACCAGAGGCCTGGGAGCTTGAGGGTTCTGCGCAGTATCTTGGCTGTGCCAAGGACTGCACATTTCTGGACTGAGATGTCTGATGTTGTTCCTGGGATCTGTTGTAGCCACTGCTCCAGTTTGGGGGTTACTGCCCCGAACCCCAAACTATATATCTATATATCTATATATATATATATATCTATATATATATATATATATATATATATAATTTTATTCTTTTTCTCTCTACAGGCCTTTCTTTGCTCAGTTCTAGTGTGTGCAGTGTCACTTACAGCTAATGTGTATATTACCTTTTTAGAAATGAGTTTCGAAAAATAAATCAGAAATATGTTTTGGGGACAAAAATATGTTTTCAGAGCTGATTAATCTCTGAACATCTTGGTATAAACACCTTCTGGTCAAATGGATATTCTGAAATTCTACCTAAACTTGCCTATATTTTGCAAGAGAGGACATGGAGATCAAGTGCTATGACTTTATGCTCAATGTGTCCTCGGCCTGAAGCTGTATTCCAAAACCTTGATGTTGGAAAAGCCAGCTTAAATTTCCACATCTGATGCAGAGCCTGGGGTTGCACAGCCACATGTGTTCTTTACACTGCATGGGGCAGCATTTAAGCTTGCTTTAAAGTTAACAGCAAACTTATGGATTTTCCTATACATTTTGTTTGACTTTTAGTTTGTGTTGAATCTGAAGATAAAAGAAGTTTGTTGACTGGGCTCAGTGCCTGAAAATAAAACAATTTCCCTTTCTTTACTGCTGTACAAGAACAAACCAGTAAAGGAAGAAACCTGATAGCAAATAGATATCATCACTTTTTTTTTTTTTACATGGTGTGTGAATTTAAAGCAGGGCACCAGCTAGAAAAGTGAGAGATAAGCAAACACAGTGATGCATCTGTGGGTAAAGAATCAACTCCAAAACCCACTGTGACATTTTAGAGTTTAGAAAGTAAACACAAGCAAACTCTTTGTGTGGAATATCATCAAGTGATGCTATCTGACCTAATGATACAGAATCCATATCGAATTCCTGAACACAAAGTGATTCAGGAGGAATCAAGTGTCTGATCCGGTTGGAAATGAGGATCACTCTGTTTCCTGTCTAGACTTGTGAAATTAAGATATTCTGCAATATAAATAGAGATATTTTTTTTTATCTTTCTGTATATTAAATGTTACTTTGATATTAATAAAAAAAACGCTTTACACTTTTGTTTTTGCACACATAGAAACCGATGCCACTGGCTTAGATATGTTTTAGACAAAGATCTTAGGTTGCTTTAATTGGCTTTTAGCCCATCACACAGGACAGGTAGTTCTTTTTGGAGACAATACCGAACAACAGTTCCTTATACTGCTGGAACAATATGACCTGTAACTGTAAATTGCTAGAAAGCCTGACGTTTTGAAAAACGTTTATGAGATATGGAACCAGAAATTGGCCGAGATGGATGACAAATCTTCATGTTTGGCTGCTTCTCTTCATCCTTTTTTATGGCTGGACTGTACAATGAAAGTATGTTCTTTACACTGCTTCAAAAGTATAAGTATTTATAAGAAGGACCATGTGAGTAACTGGCTGTATTCGAAGGCATGGTCTCATGCAGTTGCTCAGTAAAAAATTGTAGTCTTTAAAGAATTTCGGCAACACTAGTATGGAACTAAATGTATGCAAATGCAGACAGCATATAAATAAATAATGTGCTTCCTTGACTAACAGCCTTATCATTAAGAGTGTTAATCAAACCACATATGGTAGATCCATCGGTGCTACCAGTTGTAGCACTAGTATTGCTCTTCTCCACAGAGAAGTTTATTGCTCAGTTTAAGTTTCTGCATGCATTGTAGCACAGTCTTTAAAATTAAGCAGGTTTGTTTTTCTATTGTGAAAATCCCAACTTAATTTTTTTTGTTTTTTCTTCTTTCTCATTCCCCAACCAGAGTCAGGCCATGCGCATTGTCCGGACAGTTGGCCAGGCGTTTGAAGTTTGTCATAAACTGAGTCTACAGCATACACAGCAAAATGCAGATGGAAAGGCGGACTGCAACGGTGAAAAAAATGGTGGAGATTCCTCTGGTACAAACACACAACACACACACACATTCAAAGGTCAATTTGAGTCACTTGCACAGCAAAGATACTCCTTATGTTTTTTAATGCTGCTTTGACTTTTTTATTACCTGCTTCAAGGTATAAAGAAGCGGTATTAATGCCTGTTCAGTTGTTTTTCATAAAAAATAAAGGAGGTACAAAAGAGCTAAAGAGTTCAGGGTTAGTGCTGCTTTAATCAGAGTTGTTGAAAGGCATACATGTTATTGCAGAAGCACCTTGAAGTAAAGTCATGATGAGACATCCCATGTTTCTCAAGTCTGTCATAGAAAGATCAGTGTATTGTCATTTTTTCCAAACCTAGTAAACATTTGTTGTAAAAATTAAAGCTAGACATTTTATACCATTACATGAGTAAATGGTGTTAACAGCATTGTAAGAAAGAAATGGTAAATGTAGTGGCTGCACCTTAACCTTGAGGAGGAAACAAGCTGTCGGAGGTCATCAGCTCATTTGGGATATGAGCCGGTCAGAAGCTCTGGCACCAGCTAGTCTGTTTATCCGTACCATTCATCACTTCCGATAAGAACTTCTGACCCTGAGCACCCTGCCTCGGTATAAAGTGGCTCTGTTTCTATCATGTCTTTTCCTCTTCATCAAAGGTCTGACAGTGCAAGAGATGCTGCTCTAAAAACATAGAGATTTTTAGGAGGAAGGAAGTTTCTTCTCTAATTGTAGAATAAAGACTCAGGCTAAATTTTCTTTTTCGTGGGTGACTGGTATTAATTGTTTCTCACAAGATCACTACTTAAACTCACTTACAGTTTTCAGAAAATGCTACAGTATACAGTATGAAACCATCACGATTGTATGTCTATAGTCTGTATAATGTCTATATGTGACACGACCACTGCGTAAGCAGAAGCTTCTCAGTCGGACCACTTGACTCATAAAAAACAAATACAATCAAAATTGAACGCTCATTATCATACTTTTGTACTTTCATTTTTTGCACAAAATCAGTCAAGGATTTGCTGTCCAATTTTTTAATTTTTTTTGTTAAAAGAACAGAAAAACCAGTATATTTTTTTGTTTGTTTCAAACAAAAAACAAACTGCCTGAATATACATGGACCCATTTTCTTGCAAAAGTATATTGTATTTTGTATAAACTCCACACCCCCTTTTTGATTTATTTCCAGAGTAAAACTCATCTAAAATTAGTCTTACTTTTATGCTGCAGTTGCATCAAATAATCCAAGATTCAGAGGTGCAGTGTATTTCTTGGAGTAATACTTCAGAGGGTCTGCTTTTTGAATTAGCTTTCTGAAGATGTTGAAACAAGCCTACATGCATTCACCAGTCAGTGATCAGAGACAACTCAGTCTGGGTAAACAGAGATTGGTTTTGAAGGAAGAGTTGAACTAACAGCTTGTGTGAGGGGGGAACAGTTCAGTAATGAATGTATGCCTCTTTAAAACAAATCAAATTTCAAAATCTTTCACAGTTTTCAATGCAGTTTCCTAATTCTATACCACAAAAACTTGTTTCAGTAGATACTTACTTACATAAAAGCCTGTGGGTTTTTACCCTAGAGACCATGTCAGTCCTTTCTACCTCAACGTCTAATGATTCCTAAAACCCACACTTCCCCACTTTCTTTTAAGGCTCAAGTTCTATTCGGTTTTCTTGTCTGGTCTTGACTTGCAAAAAACAATGTTCATAACACTTTGAGCATATTAACCAACAATTATCTAAGCAGTCCTTTGTCATGTGAAAACTACACAAACTGACATTGTAATGATGATGATGAGGATAACGATGATGTCATATCCAGGATATTATGCAGCCACTATGTGGTTGCATTGTGTTTGATTGAACAGAACTGACTGATTTTTAAATAAATTTAGATGAAGCGTGAATAGCAAAAAAAAATGGATCTGATGCACTTATCTTTACAGTTGATGATAAAATTTAGTTAATTAAATTATCATGACTAATTTTAGCACTTTGCTATTTGCTTAGTGGCAGAAAATAGTAATTTGTCATTTTTGAGTGTATTCTTTATCTCCACAGCTAAGCAGGTTTGCCATCCAGCCTGCCTCTGGTATTCATATGACATACTTTTAAATCTTAGTCGCTGAAAAGAAGTTGTCTTTTGTTTCAGATATGTCTCAATGCTTTACTGGCGTCTTGATTTCTTCAGTACTCATTTGTTATATAATGCTACTTTTCACTCAGTTAAAGTTATTTACCAACTGGTTACATAGTTTTCAAATGCTGTTCGACAAATGATTGTGTACCCCCATTTTGTTATCAGCCTAGAGAAAATAATATGCGTCAGAATCTGGATCCCAATTTTTTTTATTTGTAAGTTTTTGGTTCTTATGCAAATGCCACTTGTCTTTTTGAGAATTTTATTGCAGTATAAAGTACAAAAGTGACCTGCACCTTTCCTCATTCTGTTTTTCCTGATGTTCTTGCTTGAAAATCAACTACTAAAGCTGATTTTACATAACAGGTCATTATTTGCTCACAGAAACCCTCAGATGCTGACATTTTAGTATCTAATCATGACATGCAGAGGAGGGTAACACTGGGCCCAATGTTACAAATAATTTTACTCAGAGAGAAGCTAATGTACAATAATACTGGTGGGCTGAGTTCTCCTTATCTGCTACTGACTTCCTGGGCATGATGGGCTTCCCTGGAGCCCTGCGGCATGTGTTTCTGAATGAGTTCTGAGAGAACGGACATGGAGATTTAGCCGAAGAAAAAGTCCACAAGCTCTTTAACTGCAGCCGTTCCAGTTATTATAGAGCAGAGTTCCAATGTGTTTTCTTCAGAACCCCAGATCCGCCAGAGGGAAGCTCATATTTCACATGCTGATGAGCCCAGAGATCACCCACTCGTTTTGATTGTACATCCACACAGATGTAAGAGGACCCCACATGCATACAGAGAGAGTCCTTTTACATATGCTCTCTCTCAAACTGGTTGACTGGCTGCGTGAAATAGCACAAGAGCCATCGAGCACAGCCATTGAGCTTATCTGGAGAACTAATTATCTCAGCAATAAAAGGAAAGGGAATAGAAAAGTGGAAGATGGTGGATTAGAGAATTTTAAAAAGGGGAGGGAGCAGAAGAGGAAGAAGAAATGCATTTTGCAAGGAACTGGGCATGAGTAAAAAGAGAAGAAATGTGAAAGTTGATTAAAAAGAAGAGGGGATGGAAAACTGGGTTGAGCAGCAGGGAGTAGTGGAGAAGGTAGATAAAATTTCATTGTCAGAGGAAGCATTCGAGAACAATAGCACAGAGAGAATCCAGACTAACAATACAATCTTATTTAATGTTTCAAAGAAAAGAACATAAAATTGGAAATGCTGAAGTATTAATGAAAATGTAAATTCTGTTTTTGTAATACTTGACATTGTAAGTTTTGCATTGAGAATAAAACATTTAATTAAAGTCTTAAAACTCAATTATGAGAATGAAGAAAGACAATATTAAGCACTAAGTGAAGAATGTGATATTACACCCCACTTAAGTACTTCTAAGCAAAAAGTGATTTTGTAGTGTTAACCTTTTTCTATATTACTGTGCACTCCTTTCTTCTTTTCACTAAGGCATGAAAACCAACCAAAACAACAATCAATTCTTAGCTGGTTGTTTTAAAGACAATTTTGGTTTTCTCCAACAAGAGAGCCATCTTAGTGGCATGTCCTTAAATAATGTGAATGTGTGGCTTTCCATCTACGCCTAATAATTTAATCCTAAAATAAATTGTTCCTAAATCCTGTAGCGGATTGTTGTTATAACTATATGCTATATCTAAAGTCCCAACTATGCTGCGGAAAGAGAACTACACTGCTCTAGATACATATTAAAAATATATATTTGCATTTTTGTAAAGTACCTTCCCTTTCGCACATTACCATCTTCAGCTTTTAATTGAATTGTGATAGAAAAGGTTGCAGGACAATGTGGGGCAGTTGTTGGGATACTGCAAAAAAAAAAAAAAAAAAAATCCCTAAATTAAGGTAAATTCTATGCAATTCATTTACAGATAACAAATGTTGCTTCCAACAACTGTAAAAGACAACAAAATCCTATTTATATACATAAATATGTATTTTCAGTTCAGTACAATAATATGGACAGATTCTAAGTCAAATACTTATATTCTGATTTGGTCATAATTATTAGACAAAGGAGACAAATTCAGTTGATTGGTTGAAGTTTTGACTTTGGAGCAGTTCCCCCTCCTGAGCATTTCTGTTGGGCCAGTGGACAGTGGAAAGTCAAAATAATAATTCTGATTAGTTTATAAAGTATCAACACTCATATTTGTATTAACGTTTTGTCAGTGAGCTTTAAATGAATAAGTATTTTTCCAAATAATACCTAAAATAAGCTCTTCTGTCAATGTAATGACTGTGTTGGTGGACTAGAGGCAAAATTGAGCTGGGAAATTCAGACAACAGCAGGCAATCATGTCAGTAACAGATAGCACAGAGACGGGCAGCAGAGCGCAACACTGATAGCAGGGTTGATGAAACAAGAGTGAGGGGTGGGGTGAGATAATGGAGAAAGAAAAGAGCGTATCCAGGAGCAGGTTATCAAGAATGAAATTATTTTGAGAGAATTATGTAACTCCTTGTCAAATTGTTGGAAATTAGGTTTAAGTAGAGGGGGAGGACTTAAGTGGTCATTTTAAAAAGGAAGTAGAGGATCAGCGGGAAAGGAGGAGGATGAAAATAGTGCATATTATTGCAGCTGGGGGGAGACATGAAAGAGGATCAGAGAGCTAAACAAAAACTCCACTACATGGTCATTGAGGTTGTTTGTGTTTTATTGACTCATGCACAATATTTCCACTTCAACCATTGATGGTGAGAGTTGCTTTTATTTTAGGAGTCAGTAGCATAAATGTTTTTTGAAATAATGGACCTAAAGCTCAGTTTGAGAGAGAACTGCAAATCAAACAGCAAATAGACTAATAAATAAATTTAAGGTTTAAGAAATTATTGTTTTTATGGTTTTGTAAGATGGAACTTTAAAAGCACAAGGTGCTTATTGTAATTTTGGGGATGTCACACCACACTGAACTTAAACTCTCCAATGTATTGATTCAAAGACGACTGTAGTACCACTGTGATAAAACAGAATAACTTTTACAGTTCAAAGTACAATCCAACTTCAGTTTTTGCAACTAGTCAAGAATCAAAAAATCTGAGATTTGAAAGGAGACATAAAGCATCTGGACTGTTGTCACTTAAAACATTGCTTATGAAGATTTACATTAATGTGGTGAGACAAGTGTACACAGCAGTTACTAAGATACTCCAAGTCTGGAAAACTTTCGTTAGACTCTTCACTTTCAGTATGTGTTTGTTCCTGTTTCAATAATGTTTCTTACTAGCATTTATGTGTGTCTACCCATGTGCGCGTGTGTTTACATGCTCATGCCTCCATGTGTGTCTGTAGGCGTGCATGCTTATCCACCTGTATGTGTGTGTACTTTCCTCGGCCCAGCTCGGGAGCTAACAGGTGCAGAGAAGACTCCAGCGAGCGTCGCAGAGGAAACGGACATTGATGCCGAAGATGTGGTCCAGGTGCCGACGGCCGAGGACTTGAACCTCAACAGAGGAGTGACAGATCTTGATGCTACTGCCAAGACACCTGATTTAACCCAGTCGGAAAATAAGGTAAATCACACCTGCAGATGTTCAGTTGGGGATAATGTGCCTCAGGGCAGATGTAATTGCCACAAAGTCAAACAGTTTTTTGATAAAAGGAAACTTGAAGTTGTAAAAGTTTTGTTTTTGCTGAATGTATTATTTTAACCCTGTTTATTTGCCGCCTGTTTGGTTTTGTGGCCACAAGTCTGTTCACATTGTTCTGTAGTAATCTTCCATGTTAAGAAATGATAGCTCACATATCCTTACATGTAGTTTAGGAGTCCTTGAAATGCTTATTAAGTACATAAGCAAGAGTCTCTTCACAACAACAACAGTAACAAGCCTGCCCAGGAATCTGCAACTAAAGTAAGTTCAGAGCTAAACTCTGACAAAACATCAATATTCAATCAGGTCAGGTATGCCTGGGTCTAAAGTGTTCCAGTTCAAAGCGACTTTTTCATATTATTTGTTACATTTTTATGACACACAAAATCATTTTCTTTTTCACTGTTCCTTTTTCATCTTAAGGCATTTGCTTAAAAATAGATAGTTTTCTGTCAATGTATTGTACAGATATTTTATGCCTGTCCAGATTACAAGTAGATGCTGGTAAAGTTTGTCAAATGTTACTAAAAATGCCATCGTTTCAGAAGTTCAAACCTTGACGGAGAACATGATTTTTGCCAAGGTTTCAACCTTTATCTGCTGATATGTTATTAAGTTGAGGAAATTGAAAGAAGACTTATTCTTGTGGGAAAAAAAATCTCAAGCTCTGCCTCATCTGGCCATAAAGGTCTTCTTCAGAACTTGTTTTCCCTGCCCGCATTGGCAGCTGCAAATTTTCATTGAGCTGGAAGGTCTGGATTTTTGGCAGACAGACTCCGCGCAAGTTTTGTAACGAGACAACTGAACTCTGTTCCTTAAACTAACAAATAAATTTTCCTTCAATTGTGGCACAATCTAAACAAAAATAAACATGCTTTCAAAAGTATAAGGTTTTTTTGCAAACCAAAAAATACAAAATTATTGACCAAATGCTAAGTTATTTGCTTATCATACCAGGATCAAAGGAGAACTGGTTTTACAATTGATATATCAGATTATCATAAGATACATTTTACAATCCTTGCAAATCCACTTTTAGAAGAAATAATGAACATTTACAATAATGTCAGTCCTAAACATTAGGAGATGCTTTCCCAGAAGAATATAAGCTATAAATGTCCAAAGGGTCGACCAGCATCATAGCAAACCTCATGCATTAACATTTGGATGTAACCCAAGCTCATATGTGAATAAATATGGAAGAATACTTATGACAATATTGTACATTTGTGAAAACCCAGTAGAAAACATTTACTCCAGCAAGAGAAACCCATAAGTGAGTTTCAAAGAAGACACAGCCTATTACTTCTCAGCAGCACTGCAACCCACTTTAAGTATTTTGGATGAGCAGTTTTTATGAAATAGGGAAGGAACTTAATCTGCAGATTCCTACATCGAAAGGTGATAAGACGATATGTGCCTGTAATAAGCCACAGTTTAATCCAGTTTAACCCATGTCTGTGTTTGCGTGTGGCACGTCTGCAGAAATAGCTCTCACTTTTCAGCAGCTATCTGCAGTGTGTTGGCATCTAAGCCAAGAAAAGTAATCCAGTGTGTGTGTTTGTGTTTGTGTGGCCACATGGTGTTAGAGATTTGATACAGCTCCGTCAGACTGTCTGCTCTCAGACCTTTGGGAGCTCTTCACAAGCATCTATTTAAAACTAGGAAAATGTGTTGTGCACTGTCGGGTGGTTTATAAACACAACTGTGTGGTTCAGTTGGCAAAGCAGCATAGTAACTTTTGTTTACTTGGTTTGTTTACTACTGTAGTTCAGCAGTAGGGATTTGTGTTTTTGATCAAGGTGGGAGTGGGAGAACAGCAGTGTGTGATGAATATATAATGCTACTCTATGCCTTGAGAATTTTGCATCAATTCACTTTGAAGAGGACTGCCTGAGTTTTCATTTGTTTTCCTGACGTTAGCTGGAAAAAATATAAATTTGGAAAACTGGTGTTCGTGTCGTTGCAGGTTTTTATAGGTCTTGATTACAAATTTTTATTTGAACTATAAACCATCAAAATATATTGACAAAAATACAATAGAATAATAAAACTGGTTTTGCAGGCTGTCCGAATGGATCTGTGTGCGGATGATCACCTTTCAGTTATACAAGATAGCCAGAACTAAAATGGAATAGTTTAAATAAAAATATTAGAAATAACAAGTTGAAGCTCATACCTAAACCCAGTTGAGAATCACTGGCAACACTTGAAAATTGGGATTTTCAGAACTTTTTGTGCAGTCACTGTGTTTACAATGGCAATAACCTCCAGATCTGCTGAGCTGGTTGAGACTTACCCCAGATTTTCTGCTGTAATTGTAGTGAAAACCTTTTCTACAAAACATTAATGTGATATTTATTGTTCTCATTGTTGTTATGTCTCTGCTGTACAGTACTTTGACTGGTCATGCGATGTTCTTAAAGTGCTATATTCTTAAAGTATGATAATGTATTGATTTAGGGGAGCTGTTAAGTTTTAAGTCAGGTTACTTTTTTCCACTTCATGCTATGTACTACTTGATACGGCAAGTAGTCCATTAGTATTCTCTGGTGAATATTAATAACTATCAGAAGAAAATATAAATAGAAGTTTCATGTGATATGAATACTTTTATGTACTATATGTTTTTTTGCTAAATGGAAAGAAAAATCAAACCCTACTTTGAATCCCAACTCACTCTCAACACAAATCTCATCAGCTGTTTGTCAATCTCTGATAATAACTCTACTGTTATGAGGCTTTTTCCTTATAGCTCTTGATTAAAAGCAACGTGCCGTGAAATCTCTAAAATGAGTCCTCTTCACTGACCTCCCCTGTCAGGTCAACACTGGAGTCGTGTCTGTATGTGAGGCTTTGTCTTGTTGCTCTACATGCACCATATGTCGGGTTTCAGATTTTTTTTCTTTAATACATGGTCACCTTGACAGATTAAATAGAAATAAGCCAGGGCAAGTAGAGAAATGTATCTGTGAATAAGATGTGTGTGCATGCACGTATCTTGTGCCTTTGCATTAGCGGCCATTTGTATGCATTTTCAGCTGTGAGGAGAAGGATTCGATTCACTGCAGGGGCTCTGTGGAAGCTCATGAAAGGGAAAGCAGCCTGCGAGTGTTAAAGTTCATTCTCCTCCTGTCAGCTCCCATTAGACTGACAAATCCCTCAGCGGCCCACGTTCAAACAGTCCCAGGGGACTTAGAGAGCGCACATCAATCCTACCTTTCATGTACTGTCCATAGATTGAGTCAAGGTGTTTTTATTTTTCTGATGTGATCAGGAACAGTATTACTTCAAAACAAATTGGAATGCCAAAAGTCAAAGATTAGAGATAAGTGTAGTTTACACATTACAACAGCCTGCACCTATTATTCTGGCAAGAGAGACATGCTTATTGATCACTTTAATAAGTGAGAACTGTGCAGACACAACAAGCACCACATTACACAAAACGTTAACCTAATTTTGATGCAGAAACTATTTTTTAATCCCTGACATGTTGCCAACAAAATAAAACAACATAATTGTTTCCAGTCAAATCCCACATTGCCACTGATCTCTATGACTGTGCCCCATCTCTCTGCCTTACAATTTAAAACCCAGCAACTGAATGTTCATATTTTGGGGGGATTAAGGTAAGGGTCAAGTAGGTCAAATATGGATGTTATTCTCACTTCAAAAACATACCTGGAGTATTTCTTTGATTCTTTCATGCATGCTTGAGAAATTTGTTAATCTCCAGAGGCAGCCATTCAGTTGTGCTTCCACCTCACAGGCCACCCCTCCACCTGCAACTCTCCCGTTTAACTCATTCAGAGTAGCTGGAACCGTAGCGTACACCTGGTGGAGCTGGACATCTGTTGAGCTTATTATATGAGCTACTTGTCAGGGCAACACGGCTAAAAACATTGTTAAAGGGTTAATAGATGAGCAATGATTTTGTGACGGCCTGGTGTTGGGAAGAGCAGGACCTATTTACAGAGGCCCAATTTCAAGTCAAATTTCTTGTAAGTCACATTTGACACAACAACTCAAGGTAACATTGTTACTTGATTGTACTACAAAGAATTTAAAGTGGCTGGAAAACGCATAAAACCCTCCCTTTAAATTGAAAATCATTCACAATTGATACATATTTGGTCTATCGAGAGTGTCCTACTTTTAAGGTGAATACTGTTACCTCTGTCATGGTGTCTCACAAACAAGGATCAAGTGGTCACTCGGGATCTTAGGATACCTTTAGGGAATAGCAATGGACCTTGAGTGAAAGCGGTTGTTTGCCTTCAGTGTGACTGAGAAAACAGAAGGCAAGTGTTCTTGCATTTAAAGTGAGACTGTACAACAAAAGCCTTTGCAAGGTTTTGCCTCTGGCCCATTTTAAGCTTCTGTCAGGCAGGTGTAAGCTCTCTGATCTATGAGTGTAATGCTACAGGCTGGCAGCCCCCGACTCACAGCTTCCTTTCTTCGTCTTTTCCTCCCATCTCATCATTAGTGTGCCTTGATGGATTTAGACCTACCATCAGCAAGATTAATGAACAATCTTTCCCCTGCAAAGGCTCGTAAACCTCTGTCAACATTTGATTTGACCAGTTTTAATACTCGTTGGGAAGTCAGAGGTTTTAGGTGATGGTACAAATTAATGTAACCACTTTAAACTAATGCAGTCATCTTGCTGTTGTGTACATTGCTGAAAAATGCAACTTTGCTGGCTTTGGCATCTTTTTCAATACACAGAGGCCAGATACTATGGCCTGGGGCACACCCAGATTACACTGTAAAATCATGCTTCAGGGGAGGTTGGAAAAGTCTCTATGTCCCTGTGAATGGCTGGAGGAGTTGGCTGAGAAGATAGAGATGTGAAATTCTCAGGTTGCATGGATTGAACGGGCACTTGATATATGGGTAAAAAAACATTTTCCTTGTTT